AGAGAGAGAGAGGCACAGCTCCCCCACACCCCAAGCCCTGAGCCCATCTCCCACCTTCACCTGGTCTCAGCAGTGGCAGGTGCAGCTCTGCCTAAAGCCAGCACCTAAACCAGCTGGGACAGAGGGGGAGAGCAGGAGAGAGGAGGAATAATTCCCTCAGCCCCTCTCCCAGCAGGGTTTCATCCCTGCAGGCACACAGCAGCACAGCCAAGGAATTCTTTCCTGAGAGAAAGCCCAGGCATGAATCCATGTGAGGCTCAGAACATGAGAGAATAATCTGCTTGCACACACCCACAGCCTGATGGCCTCTCTTCCAGCATCTCTGGTGTCACAGAGGGGACAGTGCCTGCTCTGCAGCCAGCGTGGGTGTGACAGCTTAGGGGACAGGAGTGCAGCAGCCCAGGAAAGGATGGTGGATGGGGCTGGAGGAGAAGGCAGGAGGACATGCCACAGCCTCTGACTTGGCCCTGGGCCTGTTCCCTGCCTGAGGAACAGCAGCTTCCTCTGCTCTGCTGGAGCTCAGAGCCACCACAGCCTGCCCCTTCCCTGGGCCTCTCCTGAAGGCTTTCTCCTGCTGCAGGCATCTGCTCTTCTGTGTGTGAAGGACAATTTGGGAGAGTCTGAACTCACATCCCTCATGCCTGAGGCCTCTCAGATAGCTGCAGCCAGTACTGTCAACTTCAAAATGCAAACCAGACAAAATCTGCCTGAGTTTGCTGAAGGCTGAAGCATCCCAGTTATTTCCTGAGATGTTGGTTTTCCTCTGCCTGGTTTTTGGTAGCAGGGGGGTCACAGAGGTGGCTTCTGTGAGAAGGTGCTAGAATCTTCCCCTGGTGGGAAGGACTGCTGCTCATGAGTTTGGACCCACACTGGAGAAGTTCACAGAGAACTGTCTCCTGTGGGGAGGACTCCACAGTCTCACAGGGGAACAACTTCTCTCCCTGAGCAGCAGAAGAAAATCTCAGTGATGAAATGGCCAAAACTCCCATGTCCTGTCTCCCTGCACTGTCGGTTGGAAGAAGAGAGGAGTTGGGGAAGAAAAGGTCTTTTTAAGGGTTTATTTCACTTCTCATTATCCTCCTCTGATTTTGTTAGGAATAAATTCACTTTGTACCTCTAAGCTGAACCTGTTTTGCCCTTGGAGTTTTTCTCCCAGTCTTTATTTCAACTCATGAACCCTTTTGTTAATTTTCTCTCTCCTCTGCCCAGCTGTGGCAGGGGAGGGCAAGCAAGTGACTTTGATGGGTGCCTGGAGTTTGGCCAGTGTCAAACCACAGCAGATGCTAATGCTGGGGGCCAGAGGTGCTGATGGTTCCTCTGCTTACTGACTTTGCAGTGTCTTCTGCGTCCTGCTTGCTGAAACAAGCATGAGGAGCCCAGGAGTCTGGGGATAGGGAGCTGCAGGTGAAGCAAGAGGATTTCACAGCTCCACGGAAGGTGCGTCATGGTGGTGGGAGCTTTCGTGCAGACTGGGGAGGGAAGGCAGGTGGAGCACCCTTCTCACTAATAAACTGCTAAAGCACTCATGCCTTTACTTGAAAAGTCATCGTGTTTGATGAGCCAGCACAGCACAGCCTCCTTTGCCAGCTGGGTTTCCCAGGATGGGCGCAGGTGATCACTGGGGTGTGCAAGCTCCAAGGCTTTGTGCTGGGAGCAGCAGGAGGAAATGGCAGGGCAGGAGGGCACCAGTGTCCAGGGTGGCATTGGAGCAATCTGGGAATGGAGCTCAGCTCCTGGGCTGAGCTGTGTGCCCAGGGCAACATGCTGGGGAAGTGCCACCCACCAGCCCATCTCCTCCAGCCTGGAGCAGCCCCTCGGGCTCTCTGCTGTGGGATGTAATTGCTCCTTAGGGAAAATTCTGGGGCTGTAATTGCTCAAAGTACCTCTGGGATCAGGGTGGAGCCCAGGCTGTGCCACCCCAGCGGACGTGCCAGTGCTCCACTGAACCAACCCTCTCTCTCCTTTTGCTGCCACTGGAAATTCCCCAGAGGAACAAGAGTGGAAAAATGTAGTCACAATACTCCAGCGTAATTCACTTGGTCAAATAAATAACCTGTGTGGGAATTGAGAGTGATTTTTATTTCATAATCTTGCCAAAGCAGAATCACTTTTACAGGCTTCTATTTTTAAGTACTTTTCTCGAGCATTTCCCATTAATTTTTCATTCCTTCTGCTTCCTACAGTTCAGTTACTCCTCCAGCAAAATGCTGCATTTTTTCCCTACAGCACTTGAGGTCAGTCTAACCTGACAACCTAATCTTTCTAAGCCTCACACTTATTTTTATTAATAATTTCTCAGAAAAAAAAAAATCAGTGTTTTTGGCTAGTGGTGTTGGGTTTAGGTAGATCTTGTCCTGGGTTGAGACCTCTCATGCTCAAAGTTTTAAGGCATGACTTGCAGTTTAAAGACACACTGCTGTTAGGACCTGGCCTTGTTGAGGCAAGGGCTCTGTCCTGGCAGGATGTGATCTGTGGAGGAGATCAGACCATGAATATTAACAGCCTGGATTAATGGGATGGGTGAACACGCTTCCGGCAGCTGCCTTGCCTTGGGTCTCAAAAGCCAGGAAGGTGAAGGGTGGATGTGTTCTACCCAGCATGAGAGCCCTGAACCTGGTAACCTGAAAAGGAGCTGGGATCCCAGGAGCATTGCACCTGCCTTTGCAGCCATCTGCTGCTCCTCATCCCCATCCATAACCCTCCCCTCTGGAGTTTCACTCTGTGTAACACTGAAAGGGGTTTGAAATCCATAAACACACAGGAAGGGGTTTGAAATCCATAGACACACAGAAAAAAAACCCCTTTTTTAAATTAACACATCCACACCTGAGTTTGCCCCGAGGGATTATCCCTAAACAAGGTGTGCTTCCTGATCTCTCTGTTCAATGTAAATTTGTGCCAGTTGCTGGTGCAAATTGTCCAGGGCTCCCTGCCAGTGTTTGAACAATGCCAAGGAGGAGAATTCTGGCTGGCTGGCTGCTTAGGAGGAGTCCTGGCTTGTCTGCAGGTGCATATTCCTGCTGCTCAGCGAGCTGCTGGCTGCCTTGGGAGGGGAAGAAGGTGCATGAAGGAAAAAGGTCCCACTGCTGAAGGCCCCGTGGACTGGATCATCAGCTGGTAAAAACTGGAGCTGCTGGATGGAGGGTGTGATGTGCTGGGGAAGGGTCTGGCTGCCTGCCCTCTCTCTCCCAGGCTCCTGGGAGAAGGGGCTGCTGGAGAATGTCTCATCCATGCTGTGGGGCTGGTCTGGCCCAGCATAACCCCAGACCTTGGGCACTGAGGTCTTCTCTGCTGTGGGTAGATCCCTATCAGGTGTGGAGAGGAGGGATGGGAGGAGCCGTGTTTGGGATGTGGCTTTGCCACTGCCTGCTCACACTTGGCATTGTGGTGTTTATAGTGCCCTGCTGGGCTCCAGGGGTGCATTTAGGGTTTGGGTGCAGTTCACTGGTGAGCACCCCAGCTCTCAGCACAGAGCCTGGATCCACACGGCTGCTGCATGTCCTGGTGTCCCACTCCCACCCAGGGGAGCAGCCTGCCAGAGGCTGCAGAGCTCCACACTGGGCTGTGCCAGGACTTGTTCTGCAGCCTCCCCAGTGCCAGGGTGGTGGTGACCAACTGCAAGCACCTCCCTCCTAAAACCAAGTGCTTGTGGTTTTCAAAGGCTTCCTGCGCTGCTAAAAACATAACTCTTAGGCCCCATGCCAGGTGCATCAATAGTCTGTGAACTGTAGGTCTGGTCACATTCAAAAGAGCCAGCTGGGTTCAGAAATAGCACAATTTATTGAATGTCACAGATTCGGTTTTTTTGGATTGCCCATGACAAATGCCTGAACTGCATTTATAGAGCACTGACAATACAATGGCAATCACAATCTTAATTTCCCAGGTTAATACTCTGAGGACACAAGACTTGCCAAAAGATGACCCTTGTGGGGTGGGAGAGGACAAATCTCTTAAACTATTCCTGGAATTTCATGTAAAATTCTTGTCTGCCAGCTAGACATTAAACTGGCCAGCTTTTACATCTTATTAACCGCTATAGTGCAAAGTGCTGCCAATAGTGATCAAATCTTCTGTTATTTGTGGGTTTATTGTACAGAATATTTATTGGTAGGAGGTTATGGTTTGTCAAAACTTTTCTGGGTAGAAAAAACTTTTCAGGTAGAAAAACTAGACCACATGGCCTGCACTGCACATTCACCCCCATGCCATGGCAACACAAATCACAGGAGCTACATCCGGCTTCTATGCTCGCACTGCAGGTCCCATTGCACATCCAGCTTTGCCTTTTCTTTAGTGCTTTGTGCTTCCATGCACACACTCAGATGTCGTGAGGCTGAGCCAGAGCATTGCATGGAGCAGTGGAGTGTCTTTGGGTTTGCAGCACCAGGGCAGAATGGCCATGAAGAATATTCAGAGGCAAATGCAGAGAATTTTCTATTTTCCTGTTTTGTTTTGTTTTGTTTGGGTTTTTTTTCTTCCCGTGTTAAAGAAATTAATACCAAATCCAGCCGTTCCGCTCTAATAAACTTGGAGAGCTCCTGTCAGCCCCCATGCCTCTGGCTCCCTGAGGTTTGCTGCTGCTAGCACTGGGGGAGAAGGAGTTAACTTTGCATTAAATAGCAGCCCAGCTGCCTGCAGAGGCTCCAATCCCACCCTTTATTCCACAACGTTTCATGGCTGAGGAAAAGCCAGCTCCAAATTCACTTGGCACTTTTTAATCCGAGGACAAAACCCCACCTGGCTGCCTGGGTTCAGAACGAGCTGCCTTTGGGTTGGACGGGCAGTTTTCACTTTGTGCAGTTTCAGGGCTTTGCAGACCAGGAGGTGCCTGGCTGGGTTCCAGGCTGGTCATTCCAGGGGCGATCCCTCCTGGGAGGGACAGCAGCTCTGTCCGCTGTCCATCCCTCTGTGCAGGTGGATCTGTGGGCAAGGCTTGGCTGCCTCTGCCCTGGGAGTGAGCCCAGCTCGGCAGCGCTGGGAGGCAGTGCAGGGCTGCCGGCTGCTGGGGCGGGCGCTGAGCTCGTTCTCAGCTCCTCCTGCCACGGAGGGATCCGCAGAGCTCCGCTCCGGGGTGAGCAGCGCCCGCCCGGGACAGGGATGCTCCGGCGGCTCCGGCCCGGGGCACCGCGGGGAGATGGGGCGGGGAGCGGGGCTGGACTGGAGGGGTGGAGATGGGGATGGTTCGTGCTGGGGCTGGTTTGGAAAGGTCAGAACTGGGGCTGGCTTGGGGAGATGGAGATGGGGATGGTTCGTGCTGGGGCTGGTTTGGAGAGGTCAGAACTGGGGCTGGATTGGGGAGGTTGAGCTGGGATGGTTTGGAGAGGTTGAGCTGGGGCTGGTTCGGAGAGGTCAGAACTGGGGCTGGATTGGGGAGGTGGAGATGGGGATGGTTCGTGCTGGGGCTGGTTTGGGGAGGTCGGAGCTGGGGATGGTTTGGGGAGGTTGAGCTGGGGCTGGATTGGGGAGGTCGGAGCTGGGGATGGTTCGTGCTGAGGCTGGTTCGCAGAGGTGGAGCTGGGGCTGCTTTGGAAAGTTCAGAGCCGGGGCTGCTTTGGAGAGGTCGCAGCTCAGTGCCAAGTCCCTCTCCAGGGCTCTGTGTCCTGCCCCAGGGCGCCCATCTGCAAGGAGCTGCTGATAGCAAGGTGTGAGCAGCAGAGAATCCTGCTCCGTGTGCTGGTTGGGGGTTCCTCGCTGTCCCGGCAGCCTGGCTGGAGGGTTTCTCTGGAAAATGAAGGATTTGTGTTGTGTTTAAACGCAGCTGTTCCTGCCTCTCCCCTGCGAGGTTCTGTCGCAGCCCAAGATCTCCCCTGGCTTTGGGTGCTGAAGCGACCCAGCAGCAAGTTCTCCTCCCAAAATGATGGAAAATAAAGTGTTCCTGTCATTCACGTTCTACAGCACGATTCTGATTTTAAAAATGTACGTCGTTGCCATCATTACCGGCCAAGTGAGACTCAGAAAGAAGGTAAGATCCAGTTTCGTTTTCCTTCTCCTCCCTTTCTGGCTCTTTGCTTGGGTTTCTGTGTTTTACTTCCTTCTTTTATTCCTCTAAAGTTCAGCAAAATTTTCCTGAAGCAAGCTGAGTTTTCTTTTACTTCAGTTGAAAGCAAAACTTTCAACTGCAGCAGATAAATATCTCACATCTCTTTGACCCTTTCTGTTTGTTTCTACCATCTGTAGCTAGATGTTTATGATTTTGGAAACCTAATCTAAATAATAATCAGATCTAAAATGCCAAGCAGGTGAGATGCTTCTAGAAAGAGTCTGTTTACAGTTAATTTGCAGGGTCTGGGAAAAAAAAAGGAGAAGGGAAAAAACAAAGTTTAAGAAGAAATCATTGCAATGGTCTTTTTTCTTGTGGTGTAGCAGAAAGTTTTTGGGCTTTTGGAGGTTGACTGGTTAAGGGAATGCTCCAGGAGAGCAGCAAGTCATGGGCAATAAAACAATAGCTGGAGGAGATGATTCTTGGTCGGGGCGGAAAATACAGGGAGGACCAGCTGCTGTCAGGAGTTGGGGCCAACTGGACTTTTACTACCCCAGCTCCTGATAAAACCCAGCTTTCTGTAAAATCTGTTTTAAAGTACTTGAGGAGTTTCTGACTGCGTCAGTGGAGAGGGAGGGAGACATTTCTGATCTCAGATAGAACACAAATACCCTGTGCTGTGGCATCATTGTGACTGATGAATTGTCTTCTCCCCTTGTGATTCTAAATGATGCTCCAGCCCTGGGACAGTTTGGGCTTGTAACATAATTAAAGAAAGCACCAGGGCCCCTTCCAGGCTGTAAAGTGAAGCTGTCAGATGTAGCCAGGTCCCTGAGGAACAGCTTCTGAACACAGGTGAGGAGCTCACACAAATAATTTTCATTTTTAACTTTATTAGTGTAGGATCCCATTTCCCTGTGGGAAAGCCACACAGTGTCACTGCCAAAAAACCAGCCAGGAAATATTCTCTAATCTGTCAGTCCTGGTTATCTTTTGGAGGCTGCACTGTGTCTGCAAGCTCTCCGCCAGCAGTGGTGGCTGGAAAATCTCTAAATGGATTTCATGGGAAGAAGCGGATGGGGGTGAGGTGGGAGCTCCCTTGAAACCCTCATCTGGGACCTGCTCAGCAGGCAGCACTGGGATTTTTGGACAAGAAAAACTCCTGAGGAGGTGCAGGACAGCGTGCATGGAAGTGCAGTGACCTCTGTTTTTATAAAGAGCGGTAACAAATTTGGGCAGGTAAAATCCCCTCAGGACTTCAAGATTAGGGGCAAAGCTTCCGCCTGTGGGGTTCCTGAAGGCTGTGAGCAGGTGGGGACTGTCTCTGGCTGTCTCTTCCAGGCATTTGCAAACCCAGAGGACGCCCTGCGCAATGGGGGGCTGCAGTTCTACCGCCAGGACCCTGACGTGGAGCGCTGCCGCAGGTGAGCGGGGCCAGTGTAACCAGTGCCACCATTCCCCTGGTGCCACCATTCCCTCTGGTGTCAGCATTCCCAGTGCCACCATTCCCTCTGCACCAGCTGCTGGCAAACAAGAAGTGGGAGCTTAAAGGACTCACTAATTGAGTAATTTTCTAGATGGTCAGACTGCCTCAAGCTCTGCTGTGGGACCCTGCTCATGAGAGCAGTTTAATCTTTAGCATGGTGTGCACTGGAGCAAGGGCAAGAGAAGGATCTGGGTTTGCATTCAGCATCCAACTCTGATTAGCTCTTTTCTAGGTGCTCAAAGTCCCAGAGATTCCCATACCCACACTCTTTGTGTGCTCTGGACAGGCAGCAGAGTGACTGGTCCCTGTCCCTTTTTGGGGATTTGGGAAAAGGCTGAACAGGATTACAAAAACTTTTACCTCTCTGACTGGGCAAACTCTGAATGTTACCCCTCCTCTGTGAGAATCACAGTTTCTCAGAGGTAAAACATGGGGTTATTCAGCCCTGGACTTGATTTGCTGTCCCCTTTACCAAAGGAGGTGCCCCAAGTGCTGCATTGCTGATGAGGTGCAGGAAAGGGGCTGGAGTTGTGCCCTGCTGTCCCTGAGCCCTGGGGACATCACTGATCATGTCCCCCCAGCATTTGCTTTAGAAAACATCCAGTGCCACCACCAGTTGCTGAGCTGCCAGGGGGAGGAGGAGGATGGAAAATGAGCTGTTTCCTTCCTAGCAAAAATAAAATAATAGCAGAAATAATAATCATAATCTTCTTTTGATTAGTCAGGATAAACAAACTGCCATAAAAATAAATAACTGGAGCTGCAGCAAAAACCTGGGGCAGCCTGGGGTCTGACTTGGGCAGCTGGAGCTCTCAGAACCCGTCCTTGCTGATGGATTTGCAGCCTTGGAACACATTCAATCCAAGGTGTTTCCCCAGAGCAAGGGCAGTGTCAGCTTCTCATCTCAGACTGTGCCTGGAGGGGAGCAGAGCCGGGGGTCTGTGCAGGGCAGGACAGAGCAGGGCAGGACGTTTACCCCTTGCCTCTGGCTGCCTCACAGCTCTTTCCTTTCTCCTCCTTCTTCCATTTGTCCTCCCAGCCCTGCTGAACCCCCAGGTCCTTGTTCAGAGGATGGTGCCTGAGAGAGGAGAGACACAACCCTCACTCATGGCCTGACCAGATCCTGTTTCATCAGTGCTGTGGTGGTGGCAGAGATGCAGTGACACGCAGGCAGGTGCATGTTCAGCTGGAGCACAGGGCTTGGCTCCATCAGTGCTGATGTGTCACCACATGGCCACAGCAGCCCCTCCAGCCCCTTGGGCCACTCCTCCCCAGTCCCCCCAGTCCCCTTTGGATGCGTTTATGGAGAGAGGTGAAGCCACAGCCCCTCCATGCTGTGATTTCTCCACTGCAGAAGCCGTGCTCTGGATCTCCTTTTGTTGTGTAGCGTGGCCACATCTGGGGCCATGCCGTGCTGGCACCACACCAGTTTTGAGCTCTTTGCAGCTTCCCAGGGTCTGTGTTTTGCTCTGGTTATTTGAAAGCTCCAGCCCTGGAGCTGTCATCTGCTGTGCCAAAGGCGTCCCAGTCACGGAGAGAAAGTTTCAGGGGCTCAGCATCCCAAGGGAGAGACACAGGGTGTGAAATTCTCCTGTGTGTAGGGGAGAACTGACACTTTTGGGGGCTCCATGGAATGGGGGAAGAGGCCCAGCAACACCTAGGGATGGGTAGAAGGAATGAGAGAAAACAGGGAAACAACCTCATCTCGCTTTTCAGGGCCCACCGCAACGACATGGAGAACATCTTTCCCTTCCTCTTCCTCGGAGCCATCTACTCCCTGCTGGATCCCAGTCCCACTGTGGCCAGGATCCACTTCCTCATCTTCTGTGTGGGAAGGATCGTGCACACCATTGCCTACCTGCTGCAGCTGAGGGCTCCCACCCGCTCCGTGGCCTACGGCGTGGCCCAGCTGCCCTGCTTCTCCATGGCCCTGCAGATCCTGCTGGCCACCACCCCGCACTGGTAACAGCCAGGGAGGGCCAGCACCCAAACCCCCTCATCCTGACTCTGCTGGGCCCCTGGAGTGGGAGAGAGTGAGAGAGAATGAGAGTGTGTGTGAGATGTCAGCAGGGAGGTCACCTGCACCCTGAGGATGTTCAGTGCAGCCTTGATGCCATCAGGATTTGTCAGAGGAGGCACCAGAGAGCAGGGAAATGCAGGAAGGGGATGTGGAGGGCAGGTTTCTCTCTCTCCTGCTGAGGACGAGAGGTGGAAAGCACATGGACTACTCCTTGAGGAATGGGGTCATTGAAGGGAAGGTTTTCTGAGTTTGGAACTGTGACTGTGACCTTTTCCTCCTGGTCATGGATATCCCATGAATCAGGCAGGGATCCCACAAAGTCTCACAAAGGGATCCCATGAATCATGAGGGTCCCACAAAGTCTCTTAGTCAGCAGATGTGGTTGGTAGCAGAGGTTATAAAGCAGCCACCCTTCTCCTGCCCAGCCACGTGCATCTCTGGGAATGAGAGTCCCTTAGCATTTAGTCCCTTAGGTTGCCTCTCCACCAAGGAGCACAGGAGGCTGGTGCCTTCCAGGCAGGCTGACAGGGAAGTCAGAACCCCAGGGGTGATGTGGTGAAGCCATTGGAGCATTCAGTGCTCCCAGTGCCACCTCGTGTCACACCACAGCCCACAGCTCCCTGCCAGGAGCCCCACTGCAGCAGGACCTGGAGCTCCTGGCAGCTCCCAGCCAGCACAGCTGAGGCTTTTCCATCTCAGCCTCACCACAGCAGGATGCAGAGTGACATGCCTGGAGGAGCCAGCAGGAATCCTTTACCTTGGACACACAGCCTGGACACATTTGCTGGACACAAAGTTCTGGGGCTTCTGGAATGTCTGACATGCTGGCACGGAACAGGGGCTTTGCAGACAGGGTTTTCTCCCAGAGGGCAGTCTAGTCCACATGCCACTAATACCTGAAAATGCCCCAGAGCATCAGACTGAGTTTCTCCCCTCTGTTTGTAGCCTTTCTCTTGCCATTGCTATTTGGGAAATGTGCCCTGATTGCCTTGGGGGAGTTTTCTTTCTCTCAGCTGCTTCCTGCTGTCCACTGCTGCCATTCATAGCCTGGAGCAGCTGGTGTTTGCAGAAAGCTCTGGAAACGAGCAGAGGAGCTTTGAAATGAGCATTGCTGCTCTGCAGGGTCACCCAAAAGTGCTGGGGAGGAGAGGCAGGGACCAGGGCACTGCATGGTGACCATGGCCCATGGGCTGCTCTGCCACACAGCTGTCCCAGGTGCCAGCAGCAGCAGAAATGGAGCATCCCTCTGGAGGAGAAGGAGGAGGAAAATTCTGCTCTTCAGTGCCTCCTCCCTCCTCTGAGAGCAGCACAGAGTCTGAATAGCATCCCAAGGGAAAGCCAGAATGAGTAGAAAATAAATTCCCCTCTCACCTGTCCCATGCACTAAGGCTGAAATTCCCCTCCCGCCTCTCCTCTGCCCTGAGTCTGTTCCCTTGACTCTGCTCTGCTCAGACATCTCTGGCTGAGCCCTCACTGAGCACTGGGGACACACCTGCTGACACTGGGGACACACCTGCTGACACTGGGGACACACCTGCTCACACTGATGCTCAGCCTTTGCCCAGCTCAGTTTCTGTACCAGTAACTCCACCCCAGAGCAGTTGTGGCCTCAGGCTGAGCTGTGTGGTGAAGGTTGGGGTGGAATTCTTTGCTCTCCCACTGCGAGGAAGGTGGGCAGGATTGCAGATTCAGCACTTCACTCTTGGCCACTTCTCCTTGCCACAGATGTCTGGGTGACACAGACCCCTCTTAACAAATCTTTTCTGCCTCACGTGGTGCACAAGGTCTTGCACTGCTGTATGTTTCTCTGCTGCTGCACATGCATCCTGGTGGCAGGAAGCAAATATTCCCAATAAAAACAAATCATTGTGCTCTGATGCATCCTTCCTTGGGGAGCAGCAGATGCAGCTGGGCAGCAGTTGGGTCCAGCCCCAGCAGGATGGATCTCAGCAGGATGTTAAACCCCACTGCAGAGCCTGGAGTGTGCTGGGACTCCTAAAGAGACATCCCTTTCCTCTGCACTCACCTGCCCTGCAGAGGAACCTCTTTTCCAGGTGTGCATTATTTGTGCTGATCCTTTAAATCCAGCAGAGCTGGGAATTGTAAGCAGCTCTGCTCACTTTTCCTTCCCTGAGTAACAAATTGTTACAAAGCTTGATGTTCACCCCAAAACCCTGGAGGGCTGGAGAAGCCCAGGTAAGAGGTAGTTGCTCTTCCTTCTGTTCTTAGGACTCATAAAGGAGCTGCTTGTGTTTTCCAAGATAAGTAGCCCCCCCTTTTTTTTGCACTAGGTTGCTGGGAAACAAATGCTTCATTTCCCTGATTTTCCCGTATTTTCTTAAATTGGTGGTAGTGGTTGGGAGGTGCTGCCCACTGGGTTGCTGGGAAACAAATTATTCATTTCTCTGGTTTTCCCCTATTTTTCTTAAGTTGTTGATGGCTGGGAGGTGCTGCCCTGTCAGTGTCTTAGTTTCATAAAATGGCTCCACTTGGTTGTTTTCTTACCCTGTTTGTTTTCAAATGAGAAAAGCAGTGGTTTTATAAAATGGACTCTCTCCAGTACATGTTGCTGAGGTTGGAGATGTGGCTGGGATGGAGATTTTGGCAGAGGAACGAAGAAGGGAGGCTCCAGAACCCCCTTCCAACCCCAGATCTGCCAGCTGCTTCAGCCTCCTCTCAGCTGCCTGTCCAGGGCCTGAGGCTGATGCCCTGCTCAGGGAACCTGAGGTTACATGCAAAGCTCTGCTTTCTCCTTTTTTATTAAAAAAAAATAAACTCTGCTTACTGGCTGCAGGGAAAGGCTTGGGAATGTGAACTCTCCTGGCTCAAAAAAAACAAACACAAAAAGCCTGCAAGGCAAACTTAAGAGAGGCCCAAGCATTGCACTTATTTTGAAGTGTTGTGGAAGTTTGGGGGGAAGCAAAACCAGGCTGGGCTCAGTTGCTGGAGCAGCACCAGTCCCATCAGGGCTCTCCTGGGACCAGGTGATCAGAGCCTCTGGCTCTCCCCTGGACACTGCCAATGATTGCTGCATGTGAGAGGCATTCCTGCCTTTTCCCAGTTAGTATCTATAGCCCAGAGCTCCCAAATTCCTTCTCTGGCATCAGTGTGGGCAAAGGATGTGCCCAGTGTCTCCTGCTGCTCCAGGAGAGCAAGGACAGTGGCTGCACCCACCAGTCTCTGCGTTTTGGGGTGTGCTTTGTATGCCCAACAATTTGTTTTTCACATTTGGCTCAAACAGGAAACAGCAACACTGTGAACCCACCTGGGACTGCAGAACAACAAAACTGGTGCTTAAATGGGCACAAACTGAGAGAGGAGAAATTTCAGACATTAGGAAGAATTTTTGTACCATTAGGGTGGTGGGACACTGGTACAGGCTGCCCACGGAGGCTGTGGATGCCAGGTTGGATGAGACCTTGAGCAGCTTTGGTTTAATTCCGTCTGTGGGTTGGGAGTAGGTGATCTTTAGGGTCCATTAAGGTGATCTTTAAGGTCCTTTAAGGTGATCTTTAAGGTCCATTCCGCCCCCTTCCGTGGTTCAATGTGTGGATGTGATTCACACCCAGTACGTGTCTTCCCTCACGGTGTCTGGAGCTGCGAGAAGAGCAAGTGGAGACCCGGCACAGGCTGCTTTCCCTCCCACACTCTTCCAGGTGCTTCAAGCCCCAGGATCCGTCCCACCCCTGAGCACAGGTCACGCCTCTCCCTTACCTGCCTGTGCCTCTCCTCGGGTCTCTCTTCATCCACATCGTTCTCTGGTGGGATCTGGACCAAGATTCCTCCTTGGACAGACCTTTAACACAGATGACTCTTCCTTTGCTGCCCTCCCGACGTCCCCATTCCCTCTAGCAGGTGGGATTTGATACACGAATCCCCTCATTCCTCTTGAGGAGCTGAGATTCCTGCGACTTGCGGAGAGAATGAGAGGAGCCACCTCTACCAGCATGAGCACTCAGAAGTCTCCTGGAGAAGAGAGCAGCAGGGAAGCGCCTTTCTCTGGCACACGAGGATGAAGTTGGCATCGGGAAAACTTTTCCCAGAGGGCGTTTTCTAACAGGGCTTGTGGGGCTGAGCCCTGCTTGAGATGTGGGGCTCGGAACCCGACCGACTGCGGTGCAGAGCGGGGGGCTCGGGATCCGCCGGGTGCGGGATCGGAGCGGGGCAGCACGGGGGGCTCGGGATGCGGCCGGGTGGGGCTCGGGATGCTGTGGGGTGCGGAGCAGAGCGGAGCAGCGCTGCGGGGCTCGGGATCCGGCCGAGTGGGGCTCGGGATCCGCCGGGAGCGGTGCAGAGCGGTGCGGGGGTCTCGGGATGCGGTCGGGTGCAGGATCGGGATGCGGTCGGGTGCGGGCAGCGCGGGGGGCTCGGGATCCGCCGGGTGGGGCTCGGAACCCGGCCGGGTGTGGTGCAGAGCGGTGCGGGGGGCTCGGGATGCGGCCGGGGGAAGTTCGGGATGCGGTCGGGTGCGGAGCAGCCCTGCGGGGCTCGGGATGATGCCGGGTTTGGTGCGGGGCAGCGTTGCGGGGCTCGGGATGATGCCGGGTTTGGTGCGGGGCAGCGTTGCGGGGCTCGGGATGATGCCGCGTTTGGTGCGGTGCGGGCCAGAGCGGGGGGCTCGGGATGATGCCGGGTTTGGTGCGGGGCAGCGTTGCGGGGCTCGCCCCGGGCTCCGCGGGCCGCGCTGCGCTGCGCGGGGCTGCAGCTCCCTCGTGTGGCTGCGGGACCCTGCGGGGGACACGGGGACCCTGCCCGGGCACCGCGCCCGCGGATCCTCCGCCCTCCCCTCCGTCTGCTGCGGGTGCGCATGGAGGGGGTTGGGATGGATGGATGGATGGATGGATGGATGGATGGATGGATGGATGGATGGATGGTGCCATTCCTTGGGGAACGGGCTGATATCTGCTCCACTGCACATCAGCCTCTCCAAAACAAGCAGATGTGATGCCAGCTCCAGGGAGATCCTCCCATCACATCAGACTTGCTCTTTGGGAGTCACCTGGTTGAAAACTGAGTGGTTTGAGGGAGGAAACGGTTTGTAAATATCCTTGCAAACTTCCCCTGCTCCTGAAGTTGTGGTCTATGGATGCAACGCTGTACATCTCCATGAAATAGTTCTTCCTTACACGTGATAACTTC